AGGGGAGGGTGGGGTCTCTGAGGGGAGAGCAGAGGCCTTCTGAGGGAAAAGCGGTGTCCCTGAGGGGGAATTGGGGTCCCTGAGGGAAGAGCAGAGCCCCTGAGGGGCAAGTGGGGTCCCTGAGGGGAGCCCCTGAGGGAAGGCTGGTGTCCCTGAACGGAGAGGGGGCAACGCTGAGGGGAGAGCGAGGCCTTGAGGCAGGCGATGAGGAGACCTTCCTCTTGGCTCCCCTGCATTTCCATCCCCAGGGCTGGCAGGGGTCAGTTCTCCCCGGCTGCTCCTCCTGGCCTCCGTGGCTCCATCCCAGAGCAAGTGGGGTGGGTAGGATGGATGATACACAGGTGCTCTAGAGTCCAGAGGCTGCCCCAGGGCTTCCAGATGTGTATTGAAATGAAATGAGGTGGTTTAGAACATAGCAGTCATCTATCAGGATTTTATGACGTAAATGTGGATGTGTATACTTTCTTCTTTAGATTGAGGACGAAACTCAAGTCTCTCGAGCAACCCAGGGTGAACAGGATAACTACGAGATGCATGTCAGAGCTGCAAACATTGTGAGTAGCATCTGCTGTTCAAATTAGTGGGCAGCACATCCTTTGGGTATTGTTTGGTTCATTATTGCATCTTGAGCACCCTTTATAACTCCCATGAGGACTGCTGCTAGGAGAGTAACCTGGTATTTGTGGTGGCTGTTGGATAAATTCCTTCCCTGGGGGAAAGCTGGGTGGCCTGGCTTGTCAGCTACAGCTTCTGTCAGAATCTTCATGTAACATGGCAGTTTGTGCTTTATTCAAGGCTTGCATTGAAGGAACAGCTTGGGAGGTGCTGTTTTAGAACTGGAGCAAGGCACTGGGTTGATGTGCTACACGCTGTGTGATTTTTCTCCCTGCTGCAAGGTCCGTGCTGGTGAATCCCTGATGAAGCTCGTGTCTGACCTGAAGCAGTTCTTGATCCTCAATGACTTCCCCTCCGTGAACGAAGCCATCAACCAGCGCAACCAGCAGCTGAGGAGCCTGCAGGAGGAGTGTGACAAGAAGCTGATTGCACTGCGGGATGAGATCTCCATTGACCTGTACGAGCTAGAAGAAGAATATTACTCTTCCAGGTACAAATAGGGCAGTGGACTTCTGCCGTAGGGCTCCAGCCTTTTTTGGGTAGTTAGTCCAGGCGTGTAGTCTAACATAGAGTGCAGGTCTTGAGAACGTTCCCAGCAAAATTTCAGTCGTTTTTAATTAGGTCAGACTCTTCTTCTGCAACTAAAGCAACTGCCTTTTCCTCGTAGATACCCTCCAGGGTATAAATGACATGGTGAAGGAGGTATTCACAGCATCCAAGCCTAGGTGCCTGCTGTAGTTGGCTAGACTTGGCAGATAGTTTGCTTAGGCTTCCTTTGCAAGCATTGTAAAAGGAGATGAATTTCCTTGGGAGCATAGGCTTCAGTCTGAGCCTCTGTCTCCCTCCCTAGAGAGACTGGCTTGCTGAGCTGAGTCCTCTTCTTAGGTGAGATCACTGTGTCTCCGTGTCGAGTTCCTTCACAAGTGACCTGTTTGCAGAGCTTGTGCCTTTCCCCTTTGCCCCCAGCTGCCTGGAGTCCTGGCAGGGTGAACATCTGAAATGAGCAAAAAAGCCTTGCTCAGTTTCCTTGAATTATGACGTATCATCATAGGATTTGCTATGGAATAACGACTTCTTACTGATCTGTTTGTGGGATTTTTAATATTTTTAAAAGACTCTTACTTAGAAAACACTTTAAAAAAATTCAGACACTTTATTTTTTTAATCCTATTTTTTGTCACGCACTCCAGCACTTCTATTTGAGGTAGTAAAGGAAAGTAGGACAAAGCAAAGGAGAACTTGGTTATTTTGGCTGCACTTTCCAAGCTAAGTGAAGTCAGTGTAATAATGCTATGACTTCTAAACAAAACTTTAACTTTCACAATCTTTTTTAAATTTTAATGACCAGGTTTTCTATTCTTGCCTTTCCCTTCTTTCTAAAAATGCTGAATGCCTATAACCCCAGCTAAGTCACCTAAACCCCTGATTGCTCAGTATCTTTGGAATTCAGGCCATGGTTTATGAGTAATATATGTATTTTAAGAGGAAGAAGATATTGATATGACATAGGAACTGGTACGACATAGGGAGAAAACTAGAGGTAAAAGTTTAGAGTTATTTTCCAGGCTTCACTCAGTTTTTTGGGAGGTGGCAAAGGGTCCTGGAAACATCTCAGAAGTGCAGAGCAGCCCTGGCCAGGCCCTGGCAGGTCAGGGCTGGGTCCTCTGCACGGGCAGCAGCCGGCACAGCGGTGAGCTACGGTCGCACCTCCCGTGTGCCAGCCGTGCTCCTCTCACTCTGCCACCAGTCTGCCACCACTGTAGCTTTAACTTCTGGGCTGAGGGGTTCTGGCCACGCTGGCGTGGTCCGTTCCACAGCCCAGATGCCACGTGAAGCAGCCCTTTGGGACAGAGCTGACATCTGAGCACGGCGTCGGCACGGCCCGCGCGGTGCCCTTCGTGCTCACTCCTGTCAGGCCCGTGATGGGAGGAAACTTGGCAGGGCTCTTGTAGCACTTGGTTTTGCTTTTAGCACTTTTATTCCTCTCCTGTGCTCTTTCTTGTCTTTTTCTGCACCAAAGAAATTGTGTGTGTGTGTGTAAATATAGAAACAGCGATTTATTCAAAGGCCTTTTGTAATTAGTGCTAAGATATTTTTCCTGGAGCCTTATTGTCTAACCTGGGGAAAAGGGGTTTCTGTTATGTCACATGTTCGTTGGGTGATGTCACGCTGGAGTGGCTGTAACTGCAGTAGCTGGGTTGCCCACAGATGGGTGTTCTGGGCTGTCCTGGGAGCCCAGCTGGGCTTGTCTCTCTGCCCTCTGGTACTTTCTCGTGGGGCTCGGTCCCATGGAGTTGGTAAAGAGAGGCACAGTCCTGCGAGGCCAGGACACAGCTTCCATCCAGCCACACTGCTCCCCCACGCCCCAGGTGCCCCGAAGGTCACTGGCTGCTCTGGGTTTGGTTGTCCCCCGAGGGAAGGCGAGCTCCCTGCAGCAGCCCAGCTCCTCATGCTGCAGAGCCCAGAGCTGCCCTGTGCTGTGGCACTTGTGGCTGCTGTGCGGGGCTCCCGGAGGCTGGGAGAAGCCTCGGGGGGAGGTGGCTCCTGCTGGTGTTTGTCACTGTGCTGTAGGGCTGTAGGAGTGTGAGCTGCACACAAGAGGTGCCTGGGTTACAGGGTCAGGTTTCATTGTGGGGCTTTTTAGGTGCATGTGGGGGGTTGATGAGGAGACCTGAAAGCTGGTCCTTGAAACTATAGCTGAGGTTGTTCTGAAGGAATCTTTGCTTTCAGTCCCCATGTTCAAGTGGTTTCCTTGAGCTCTTCCTGTGCTCCAGGGGGGTCTAGTGAGGTCCCTTCCATGTGCTCAGCAACTCTGTCAAAGGACAGAGAAGCAGGTTGGGCAGGGCTGTTGTGTGCTGTGCAGTAACTGCTTGTTCACCCTGACTTCTGAGGGGTGTTACATGAGAGGCGAAGCTTAGACCTATGGAACTCTTCTAACTGGGGCAGCAGGAGAAGCAGTTAGGCTTTTGATGCAACTAAAATGTTGTCAGAAAGTCCCCTACCAAGATGTGGATGCTGTGGGCAGGTTCTCCTCAGAAACCAGGGCCTGAGGTGTAAGACTGCCAGAAAAGGAGTGGTAGTTCTGGCTCAGTCCTGAGGGTCCTTGCTAATTGAACCCAGCTTTGCTGTATGTTGGGGACTGTAGGGAAGGGTGATCTTCCAAGGGATTTACAAAGGCCCCAGATACAAAACCTGTATCCACTGCCTTCTCACTCCTCCTGCGTGGTGCTGCTGCTGGAAGAGAGCTCAGAAGTAGGTGCTTGCAACTGGTGCTCTGTGTGCTTATTCCCCAGCGTGCTAACTCCAGGCCACACTTGTCTTCTCTCACCCCGAACCCCAAACTCCCTTTTATGTTCCATTGCTCCCTCTGAGATCACAGGAGCTCTCTTGAGTGTGTGGTTAGATCTCAACATGTTTCACGTTTGTGCAATTTGATGTGTTGCCTATTTCTGCACTTAAAATATTTCCCTAACCATCTATTCAAGGCCATACATTAAAAATGGAAATAAAGCTACAACAACAAAAGCACTTGACCCACTGGGTTTGTTTTACTCTGAACACAAACTGCTTTCTGCTCCAGCACTCACTCTGCCTTGGGTGTCTCTTGTGTGTGCAGCTCCTTCTTCTCTTGGGAATTGTTTTGGTTTTGTTCCAGTTTCTTCCATCATTTTTCTTTTTAGTTTTGGCCCTTCCACATGGTGTTCTCTTCAGAGCACAGGCAAGAATTACCCAGCTGGTTAGCACCATTACTTTACATCCTGCCCTGCTGGTCCATCCAGCTCCATGGGCTGCAGTGGTCAAACCCAGGAAGCTGCTTTTAGAGAAGTGTTAGCTCAGGTTCTGCTGACCATGGTAGGAGCCATCAGTACTTTATCATCAGGCTGGGGAGCTTCAGGAGAAGACCCAGATCTTCTGTGGAGTGCTTTATTGAAAGGGCAAGGATGCAGACAGGTTTCTTCTCTGTCACTACAGGGGCCGACCCTTAAACAATCAGGCTAGATTTAAAATTGAGAGCAGGAATTCTGTTTTTTTCCTCACATAGGTTGTGACCTAATTTCAAGTAATTACGGGTGAAGTCCTTGGCTCACTCAAATCAATAGCAGAACTCCCATCTTTGGGGTGCCAGGACCCCAGCCCAGATCTCTTCAGGGACTTAGGGCATCTGGATTGGAACTGAACCTGTTTCAGTCTGTAGCAGGAGTTCTGGCCCAGAAACTGCCCTGATCCTCACCGGCTCCATGAGGTTCAAGCCCAGCCCTGAGGGGTGCCTCGGGGAAGGCCAGTGGCACACGACTTGTGGTGAATTTGTGATCAGAGACCTTACATCTGTGAACAGGTTTTTTTGGCATTTTCTTAATGCTCTGCTTCTGTCTTGCTTCCCCGACCCTTCCCCTCCCTCCCCTCCTCTCTTACTGCACCCGCTGTCTCCTCCCTGGGGTTGGTTGTTCTGGAAAGCTACAGTCTGTGTGACAGCAACGACCTGCCCCTGTGCGAAGCCTACTGGAGAGAAGACTTTGCCGCGCTGTCCCCCGAAGGCCTCTCCGTGCCCCTGGCGGCTGCCACGGCGGAGCAGAGCGTCGCTACCTCCCGGAGCTCCACCCCCTCGCACCCCCACGTGAACGGGCACGGGGCGGGCCCCGCCGAGCACCCGTGAAGAGGATTCCCCGCTGCCGAGCGCGTTCTCCCGGCGGCCCCGCGCCGCTGGACGTCTTCCACCCGCTGTCCTGTCCTGAGCACGCAGCTCCCGCCGCCGGGAGGGGGCACCGGCGCTGAGTTTGCAGGGTGCAGCCCACTGCACAGCCACGGTGCTCTCTCCACCCCCGGGACACTCCCCTGAGTGTTCCTCTCCCTTAAGAGAACGCGACCAGCAACTACCAAGTTGATTGTTCTGATGCATTAGAGTTAGGTTTGCTTTTATGTGATGGTTATGTGTAGAGTTCATCAGAAATCCAGTTTGTTATGTGAATCCCAGTAAGCGCACGCCAGAGCACTGGGAATTGAATTTATTTGGGATAAACCTGAGCCAAATGTGGGGATAGTGAGTGGGGAGGGGAGCTGAGCCTGCTTCCCGTGGTCACTGATGTTCTGGCTGCTTTCAAGCTCTCTCAGGATGGCATCTGACAACCTTCACTCTACTTAACCAGCCTAAGACTCTCCCAGTAGTCTGTGCTGAGCAGCCTTGGCTGTCAGAGTGCTTCACACACAGCTCGCTGCTCGTTTGGGAGGAGGCTCCTGGGACACCCTTGCCCAAGAACAGTCCTCTCCCTTCAGAAGAGCAGCTGAGGTATCGACAGTGCCGCTTGCTCAAGGCCGCAGAGAAGCAGCAACACTTTCACTAGTCCAGTTCCTTTCCCAGCACTGATGCAGAAACTCCACTCACGAGCCTGGGCCGATGTGAAGCCAGCGCTGGCCTTGGCTGACCTGTCTGATGGAAGCCTCTGGAGACGTGGGGGCTGTGTGGAGCAGTGAGGGACTCGCTTCTCTTGCAGTTTCATTCCAAAGCAGCACGCTGGGCACTGCTGCAGCTCCCAGGCAGCTCAGTGGTGCTTCTGCACAGTCCCTTGGTGGGGGCTCAGCACCAGCTCCAGCGGTGCAGGAGGCAGTGGGAGCTGAACTGGAACACGGCTGTGACAGCTCCGCGTGTGCCACCCTGACCCCACAGAGCCACGCCGAGCTTCCCCAGCCTTCTGCTCTAACCTCTCCTTCCTTAGGATGTGAATTTTGCTATCTTTTTGTTCTCCTTTTCCTCCATTCCATTTATTTTTTGTAATTCGGTGGTTTAATAAAACTAACTCTTTTGTATAATTTTTAAAGCGTGTGTTTTCAGCAGCGAGGCTCTGAGAAAACCCGCACACCGTGGAGTGTGCGTGCTCTTGGGCGTGCGGTGGTTGGACGGGCTGCTCTGGCAGATCTTTTCCCTGAAGGAGCCCCTGGAAGCCCTGCCCCAGAGCCCGCGTTAAGCCTCCCGTCCCTAACGAGGGTTCGGGGCCTGCAGGCC